TTGTACGTGTATATAAACAAAATAAACGAACCCTTGCATATCAAGAAAACGAAATAACGAGAAAAGTTTAAAGAAAACGATAAATGTTTAATCAAGGATAAAAGATTAAGGATAATAAGGATTAATGAAAACATTAAAGAGAGAAAAATTTCCATAGATCACTATCATATGTGTGTTAATATGATTTTATGATTTTTTATTGAAGTATCATGCCTTTAAAATGAGGTTTAATAATTAATAAGCATTAATTTTTTAATTAGAGTTAAGTTTAATAATTAAATATATTAATTTTTTACATTGAAATTAAGTTTAGTAATTAAGTAAATATTAATATATTAAATTCATTAATTTTTTAATTAAGTTTATGTTTAATCATTAATTAAATATTAATTAATTGATTTTTTAATTAAATTTAAGATTTATAATTAATTAAATATTAATTAATTAATTTTATTACTTTTTTAATTAAGTTTAAGTTTAATCCTCATTTACATATTGATTTTTCAATGTTTTGTGTACAATTAGGCATTTTTCAGCAAAAAATAAAGGAAAAAGAAATTGAAATAAAAATTTATACCTTTTCGGGCCAAAATGTCGCTACTCCGAGATTCAGTGTATATGTTTTTTTATCTACTATAGGGGGGGAGTGCTCCTCGACGGGTGGGCACGGGCAGAGTTGCGCCGCGGCATGGGGCGCTTCTCAGCGTGGGTTCCGCGTGGGTTCCCATGCCACGGAGTTGGATATTTTCGCCGCGTGGGTTTCGGTGGGTTGGTTATCCTCTCCTTCGGTTCGGTTGGTTGGAATGCCGCGGTTTCCAGGTTGGGTGGGCACGAGTAGTTGCCCCGCGGCATAGGGCACTACTCAATGTGGGTTTCGGTTTTCGGCCGTGGTTCTCTGGTCCACGGCGTTGGTCTTTCTGCTGCATGGGTTTCGGCATGGTCGCCGTTTGCGCTAGCCGGTTTCGGTTGTGTGCAATGGCGTGGCATGAGTAGTAGCGCTACTCAATGTGGGTTTCGGTTTCCTTGCGTGGCCCTCCGGTCCACGGCGTTGGTCTCTCCGTCGCTTGGGTTTCGGTAAGGTCGCCGTTTGAACTAGTCGGTTTCGGCCGGTTGCAATGGCGTGGCATGAGTAGTTGTACTGCTCGATGTGGGTTTCGGTTTTCGGCCGTGGTTCTCCGGTCCACGGCGTTGGTCTTTCCGCTGCTTGGGTTTCGGTATGGTCGCCTCTTGCACTAGTCGGTTTCGGTTGGTTGCAATGGCGCGGCATGAGTAGTTGCACTACTCGATGTGGGTTTCGGTTTCTTTGCGTGGCTCTCCGGTCCACGGCGTTGATCTCTCCGTTGCTTGGGTTTCGGTAAGGTCGCCATTTGCACTAGTCGGTTTCGGTCGGTTGCAATGGCGTGGCACGAGCAGTTGTACTGCTCTATGTGGGTTTCGGTTTTCGGTCGTGGTTCTCCGGTCCACGGCGTTGGTCCCTTCCGCTGCTTGGGTTTCGGTATGGTCGCCTTTTGCACTAGTCGGTTTCGGTCGGTTGCAATGGCGCGGCATGAGTAGTTGCACTACTCGATGTGGGTTTCGGTTTCTTTGCGTGGCTCTCCGGTCCACGGCGTTGGTCTCTCCGTTGCTTGGGTTTCGGTAAGGTCGCCATTTGCACTAGTCGGTTTCGGTCGGTTGCAATGGCGTGGCACGAGCAGTTGTACTGCTCTATGTGGGTTTCGGTTTTCGGTCGTGGTTCTCCGGTCCACGGCGTTGGTCTTTCGCTGCCCGGGTTTCAGCATGGTCGCCGTATGCACTAGTCGGTTTCGGTCGGTTGCAACGGCGTGGCACGAGTAGTTGCTTTACTCTATGTGGTTTCGGTCTCCTCTCGTTGGCGATGCGACTAGTGGGTTTATTTCGGTCTTTTCCCTTTCGCACTTATTGATGCGAGTGTCATGGCGTTCAACTTGCGGTGGTGGACTATATGCTTGGAGCGATTCCAACCGTGTGGTCTGTTGGTGTAAGTTGTGTTGCACTTGATGTTTGCGATGCAAGACGGTGTGTGAGTTGTCTCCGGCATTTGTGGTTAAGATGGATCATTGCCGTAGCAATGACGTCTTGCCGCCTTGCCTTCTCAGTGTCGATTGCCTCGGTGCTGCTGGGGCCGATTTTCCATGGTTTCCGGTGTCGAATACCGCTGCGGGTGGCATTTTGCATGTTAACTCTCGATTTCCGTCCTGTGCTCGTCCTCGTTTGTATGCGAGGGTGTGCGTGGGATGGACGCCAAACGCCTACTTGTGCTCGGTGCAACCCTTGGTTGCGATCTGGGCATACGAGTAGTTGTGCATGGCTCTTGGATTTGGTATAAGCACGGGGCATTGGAATTCATCTTCTTCTTTCCCCGTGTGCCAATGTGGCACGCTAGTCCTACGCATGACTGCTTTGTTGCATTGAGTGTTCTTTCGTCGCTCGTGCTCGGGGCATCATTTAGGAATGTTACCTGGTTGATCCTGCCAGTAGTCATATGCTTGTCTCAAAGATTAAGCCATGCATGTGTAAGTATGAACTAATTTAGACTGTGAAACTGCGAATGGCTCATTAAATCAGTTATAGTTTGTTTGATGGTACCTACTACTCGGATAACCGTAGTAATTCTAGAGCTAATACGTGCAACAAACCCCGACTTCTGGAAGGGATGCATTTATTAGATAAAAGGTCGACGCGGGCTCTTGCCCGTTGCTGCGATGATTCATGATAACTTGACGGATCGCATGGCCATAGTGCCGGCGACGCATCATTCAAATTTCTGCCCTATCAACTTTCGATGGTAGGATAGTGGCCTACTGTTAGACCCCTTTTTGGCGGGTCTTTATCGAGACATGGTTTGGGCTCGATAGGGTGGCTTTTCGGGGCATGGGATGCGGCCAAAGTCATCATGGCAATGGCCAAGGCATAGTTATGCCGCGGCATTGCAACATTGCGAAGAACGGGCAAGGTGGAAGTTTGGCTAAGGCATGGGGACTTAGTCAAGACAAGGCAAGCTAGACCAAGTATGAGGGCAGAACGGTTGGCGTTGCGAGAAACCATGTTCGGTTCATGGGCGGCATGACATGGTCAAGGGAGACTATGGGTGTGCGGGTCCGGCATGTGATCCAAGTGTTGGTGAAGATCAGTGGCATGCGGGGCATGGCTTACGGGATGCGGAACAACAGCTTGGAGGCACAACAAAAGCAAGTGGCTCGAGGTGGCACGTGGGCGACTCAAGGGTAGTGCGTGGTGCGTGGCCAGGCTTGAGCCCGGGGCGTGGCTGTCCTTGGGCAGTCACGACATTTGGGAGCTTCGGTGGCAACAAGGGTTGGTTGGCCGGTTGACAAGTGGGACTTGGGCAAGCTGGGCGCAAGGCAACGAGAGTTGGTCACAAGCTCAAGGCAAAGAGTTGGCTCGTGGGTGGCCTGGGTTAGGCCGCGGCATGAGTGCAATCTCGAAGAGGCGTGTCGATTCGGTGCGGCATGACTCAAGTCTGGAAGGGCATGGCGGTTACACGCGAACAGGTGCCTTGGGGCGAACCGGTGGCAAGGCAGTTGAGGGCTTCGGGCGGACAAGTGCTTGGGCAGACCGGAAGGCCGCGGCATTGGGCGGTTGGTAACTGCCACACGCGAAGAGACGCGTCCCTTCAGGCTAGGCAGTTGGCTTGTAACTGCCAGACGTGGCTCGTCTATAAATATGCCGCGGCATAACTGCGAGTTTTGTAGTCTTAGCGAGAGACAGCAGTGTGGCCGAGTGTTTGCAAGTGTGTTAGACATTGTGAGCGTGTTGTATTAGTCCTAGTGTATTAATTGTGAATTAATAAAAGGTTGGTCGTTGACCGTAAAGTGGTGTGCCTTTATTCTAAGTGTGTGTTAAAGTGTTGCGTTCCTATTCCAATTAAGGGTTGCGCCGCGGCATTGGGTGGAAGGCTGACTGTCTTAAGGCGTTAAGGCAGGCCGTACAGGGTGAAAATTCGAGACGTGAATTTTACCGTGTAACAATTGGTATCAGAGCTGATGGCTGAAGATCGTGATTCGTCTGCCGGTGACCAAGGGGTGGAGACTGCGGAGGTGCTGGTTCGTGGGCTGATTGAGGAAGCGCTTAGGCCGGTGTGGGCGCGGCTTAGGGCACTTGAGGCCTCAAGGGCAGACCTGGTAAACGAACTGGAGGCACGCTCTGCCGAGAACGAAGCCACAAAGTCAGAACTTGTGATTTTGAAGAGGGCTCTTGCAGCGGGATTGGTTCCAAGCGCTGAAGTAGGCTCTTCAAAGATCAAAGTGCCGGAGCCGAAGACCTTTGGTGGTGACCGCAATGCCAAGGAGTTGGAGAACTTTCTGTGGGATATGGAAGAATACTTTAAAGCCGCAAAGGTGCCGGACGAAGAGAAGGTGAGGATTGCACCCATGTACTTGTCTGGTGATGCAAAGCTTTGGTGGCGGAGTAGAGTAAGGGACGACGCTAATACGGGAAGACACGGGCTGGAGTCATGGGATGGACTCAAGAAGGAGTTGAAGGCTCAATTCCTTCCCCACAATGTCTCCTGGATGGGCAGGGAAGCCCTGAAGAACTTGAAACACACCACATCGGTGAGGGATTATGTCAAGGCATTCTCTTCGCTCATGTTGGACATTGAGAACATGACGGAGGAGGACAGGCTGTTCAATTTCGTGTCTGGACTGCAGCCGTGGGCCCAGACAGAATTGAGAAGGCAGGCTGTGAAGGATTTGCCGAGTGCCATGGCAGCGGCCGAAGGACTCATGGATTACTCATTGTCCGATGGTTCTAAGGGGAACAAGGGCAAGGGAGAATCAGGCATTTCCGGTTCAAGGGGGACGTTGAAGTGTGACGACATCAGTGCGGCAACGGAAGCGAGTGTGACGAAACCAAAGTCCAAAGCTTGCTGGGGGTGTGGCGGTCAGCACTTGCAGCGGAATTGTCCCGAGAACCAAAAGTTGGCTGCCTTGAAGCAAGTGGAGTCCGAGGAGGATTCTGCGTTG